TTTGTGTCAACGTCAGACCAAAAAACCAAAATACAAAAATATGGTTTACCAAAGAGCACTTCAATGAAACGGATAATTTGCGGATTCACTTTCATTTACTTAAAGAAGTTCAACTAAAAAATACTTCATTTTTGTAATCGAAATAAATTCGTTACTGTTGTGCAATAAAATCAATTTTGTTTTTTGCTTTTCAAATATATAACAAACAAAAAATTTCTTCACCTTTATCACGAAACCATCTGGTGGCGAAACGCAGGATGTTGGTAAGATTAGAATGTTTCATATAAACTTTCAAGAAAACAACTGTTTACGTTAACCATTACACAGGATAGTTTTAAACTAAAATTGTTTCATTTTATAAAATAACATACAATCTTAAAAAAAATATCCATTTCCCATATTTCAAGGCGTTCCCATAGCCCGGAACATATTTATATAATATATCAATTTTCTTAATAACAAAAATACATGTTTTCTTTAGCCGAGGAGATGTGTTTGGGCATCCGGTGTCACAACATTTCGCCGTCTTGTACCATCCTCTCCTCTCGCATTGATTTCATTTTCAGATTTACGATATTTGTTGTATTATGCTTTTCATTCAGACGTTTTTTACGCATTGTGATCAGCTGAACTCCAAGACGGATTTTTATAAAATAAATAATGTTCCCCTTCGGAATTAACAGATTTACAATCAGGTCGTGGGAATACGGTTTTTTATTGTGTGAGCTTTTCATTAAAAGTGTCTTATGCGAATTTTTATACTGCTGCGAAATATGTGCTTCTTTTGTAAGAAGATTGTATTTTATGATAAAATAATAATAAAATCTGATAATTATCTCTTGTTAACAATAGGAAGGATCGATCCAAATGTTACACACTTAAACTTAATTTAGCATTCATTTTCTTGAAATTTAAAGTGAAATTAGTTTAATATTGCAACAATGTAATATTATTTAAAGGTTCTTCAAATGCACATTTATATATGTATTTTAATGGCAAAAGCTTTGATTTTTGTGTTATCACTGTCTTCAAATTTTAATTTTAAATGAATATAAATATAATTTATTTTCAATCTAATCAAGTGTAGAAAGCTATGCGTATCGATTGGACAAAGATTTTTTAAATTAGTCTTTAATTTTCCAATACATAAAAATGTATGTCATCATTAGTGAATATTAGTTTAGAGAGTTGCATCAATATATGTTCACACTGTACATTGTTAGCACCAACATTAATTACACTAATTTTCTATTAGCAAAAAAATGTTTTAAAGAGCGTTTTAAAATTCTGAAGAGCAGTTGAACAAAGTTTACGAAAATGCAAAACTAAAAAATATTTTTGCAAGAGAACTTGTGTCTTTAGACAGGCCCGAGCTTTAATATTACCATATGAATTTGGCTACCACTTATTCAGTGAATAATTTTGATATCCTTATATTAGATAAGTATAACAAAATTATTACACCATGGTATGAGGATGTTCATTATGGTAATATAGTTTTCAAGATCGCAAACAATAGAACAAAAAAAATATTAAAAAGAATTTTTACTGAGTGTTCTGCGCCTAGAATAAAAATGTAGTCTATATATTTCACCGATTGAAGGCGTATGGAATTTAAAATGTTCTTATAAAAGATTTATACAATTTTTATGGATTTGTAACGCCAGATTATTTTGACTCCGGTCATATATTTTTTATCAACATTAAATTTAAGACTTTACATGAACTTTACATATATGTATGTACTATGTACCTATATATAAATATCGCATTTAGTCGTCTCCAATTTATCATTGAATGAGCATAAAGTTTAACCTTTAAATCTGTCAGTCGTACTGCACGAAAGTGATTAAGTTTTCAAAAGTTGTCTCTCTTACGAGTTGCTAAGTTTTTAATGGTGTCACTTCTGCTGTATATGTCACCTTATTTGTTTATAAGTTCCCACGTGTGAACCGGAAATGGATTAGAGTGCCGGTTCTAAAGTGAGAAATATTCTGTTATTTTTATTAGAGACAAAAAAGAACTTGTCTTCGAGGCATATATAGGTGTACGTAGATGAATTTTTGAAAAGATTCTATATTGGTATTGCAGTCGTTGAGAATCTCCAAAACCTAAATGATAAATGACAATTTTACTGATAAACTTATTGACTGGTATGTAATTATTGCATACGTAAAGCTGTAAAAACCGTGCTGAATTGGATAATTTACACATCAGTATTTGATTGAAAAAGTTCTAATCATTATTAATATAGACACAAGTATCGGCAAACAAATTCATTGCTTTGTTTCTGAACTTTTAGTGCAGTAAACGGAGAGGAAAAAGGGTATAACCTCTGAATTTTTTTACTGTGCTCCGAATTGAATGAAATTTTGGAATTAGGTTCATCTTACCCTCAAGTTCAAAAGTGAGAACAATTCGGGTTGCGCCATCACCCCCCGGGGGGATGACACCCCTTCTCAATTGTGTAATTACATTTTTTCAAAATAACGTCGGAAATCTTATAGTTTTTCAAAAAAACTAATACTTTTCATGTTACTGGCCACTAAAGATTCATATATTTTTGGCGTTTTTCTTCGTTTTTTTAGCAAATATCTCCTAAAATATACATTTTAACGAAAATCATGTAATGAACAAAATAATGTCAATAAAAATTAAATTGTTTTCACTTGAGGGTAAGATGAACCTAATTTCAGAATTTCATTCAATTCAGAGCACAGTAAAAAAAATTCAGACCCAAAACGCTCCGTTTACTACACTATTTATGCAAATGGTGATTAAATACTTACTAACCCAAATATTTTATTAATCTGGCTTATTTATTTAGCTCGCAGTTTATTGTTTTTAAATCTACCTGATTATGCTAACTGAAATAAAATAGCAGCTTGTTACGATTTTTAGCATAATCTAAAATTCTAAATCATTATATTCACAAATTCTATTACAAGATTTTCATAAAAATTGATGCAAAATAGTATATTGGTTAAAGAAGTTTACCAACTTTATTAACAAAGAAGAACAGTTTTTATAATTATTTGTACAATCTTGGTCTGGTACCCAATGTGGCTTGGTCTACGTGAAATAGCAGTCACTAATTCTGGATTCGAACCCAAAATTCAGTCAGCTTGATATCAAGCAGTATGACATCAGATTTTGACTTGAAATTATATATCTTAAATATAATATCAATTGAAGGTTGGCTTTCAGGAGCATTGCTGCTGAATAATAAACAGTTCAGAATACTGTTCACTTATATTGCAAAATATTTCAACTAGGACAGGGCTACTAGTGGGTTTCTTTCTAAAACAGCTATCCTAATTCATATAAAAATGAAAAAAAGTGTGCAATTAGTGCTGTAAATACACAATTCAAATCCAGAAGCTAACAGAAAACATTACTTTTTATAAATAAGTTCTCTTCTCTTTATCAATTTAAATTATTACCTTTATTGGATTATACAGACGTATCAGCGGCTATATTGTTTTATTTTCTGTGCTGATTACAATGTCAATTATCCGTGAATTAATAATGTGATATGTATATGAGCCGTTTCACATCTATTTACCCAATCGATATTGGTTGATGGCATTGAATCGTACCTTTCGCGATTTGCGAACGATGCGCTGGTGTTTGTAAATAATAACACACCTGTACTAGAGAACGAAAGTAGGCGAAGGGCGATGTTTTCTGTTTGATTACACGCATGTACTTTTAGATTAGGAATGTGTAAATGTTTTACTCAGATTATACTTAACTAATACTTATTATACTAATACTAATTATACTTGCTAAATTTAATAAAAAAAAATTCTGCGTGCATTTTGCAAACTATTTTGTATTTGCATCCTCTGACTATGAGTTAATCATCTTTCATAAGACTTGATTTTTTTTCAATTAATCATTTTATTGTTATGACATCTACGTGAGTCGTAAAATGAATTATCTTCTTATTTACTAAAATCTAGTTATTAAAAACATATTAAAATAAAAAGTGACTACAAATCTCTATACTTACAATTATAACTATATGGCGAAGAAGTACTATATTCTACGAGGTTTTGAATATTTTAGGTTTTAATTAAGTTAAATTAAATTAAGCATCATATTTTCAATAACACGTTAAGATCTTGAAGATCTTAGGTTAAGACCATCTTATTAAGTAGAATTGTGAAGTATATGGCATTTTAATGAAATTTTTTATTTCATTATCAATTTATCATAGTTTATTAATGAAAATGACTATATTCAAACTGTAACTATGTTTTAAACATAATTTTTAACAAGAAAACGCGTATAATAAACAACAAATATTTCTATAATTTTTTTTATTAAATCATATTGTTTAAAATCTCCATATTAAATAAAAAGCCAGTAAGGTTGAACAACAGAAGTATGTGGTACGTTCGAAGTTTGGTTAATTACATTACCAAATTACTAATTATTTATGCAGGAAATATTACTTTAAACGATTTTTTTATTCTTATTTTTTATTCTTTATTTTCCGCCGTATGCCTTATACATTTATGTTGACTGGATCATATTGCTGAAGCCGCAAATCAGGTTTCCACAAAGCCGGTCGCTGTATCTCACCCAAAGTCAATATAATATCTCCTCCGTATAGCCGCCGAGCCTAGTAATCATAATTGCAATCGTAATCGTGCATGCAATAGACATTATGAATCTGCATAATACGACGCAAATTAATAAATGACAGCAAATATTTATGCCATTGTTTCCATTGAGTGATTTTGATGAAATTATTATCCAATGAGTTTTTCACCTATTTACTAGAAATCGTTTGGAACTGATTGATGCTGGTGCAGTTTCTTTCTGCACTTTCTCTACAATTACTCACTAATCGCATACTCAAATAAGGTCGATTTTCTACGTTTCTAATTTTCTCATTCTCATCTTTATTATTTCTTCCTGATATATTGTCATGAATAGACAATTGCAATTATTTCGTATGATTAATTTGTATATCTTTTATTTCTTTGCAGTTTGTAGATCTGGGTATTGTTACATCAATAGAGAGCAATCACAAACAAGTTGAATCTGCTCGCAAAGGTCTTGAGGTTTGCGTTAAAATTGAACCGATTCCAGGTGAAGCACCTAAGATGTTCGGTCGACACTTTGATGAAACGGATTTCCTTGTGAGCAAGGTAAGTAATTATTGTATTTATTCGATTTCAAAAACTTCAAATATTAGCACGTCTCCATGTATTGAACTCAACACAAATACTCATTTTTTTACATATAAATCACATGTCTACATGAGAGTTTATATTACATTGATTGCCAACGGAGTATCTACTAGGAATAAAGAAAAATAATTTAAGAGCAAAGAACATAGAAATAATACAAAAATAACAAGACCGTTCTATTGTACAAATATAATTACAAAATTAGTAACTACATATATTTTATTGCAGGCTGTAGCAATATTTTTGATTGTGTAAAAAAGTGTTCATTTTTTTTCCTAAATGCCTGTCTGTCTGACCGTTACAAGCATTTTGGATTATAAAGGGTACCGGATTAAGCAAAATCGGGTCTGTAGTAAATCCGTATAGGATTTTAAAATTCTTCCTCGTGCGGTCTTTGAAATTTAACACCAATACGACAGATGTCCATCCAGATGGTCAAAATTGTTCACTAAGGTAGAAAAAACTTGCGTGGACGTTCAATAAGTATTTCTTCTGAACACCTATAAGCGCCCTCGCAAAATCAATTTCTAAAGCAAAATACTATTGCAAATCGTCATTTCTTGAATGTAAAGACAGCTGTGCAAATCTCATATGGTACTCAAAACGTTCTTCCTACGCTATATCGCATATTTGTTTTTATTTCTAAAATCACTTGCGTATTTTATTTATATACATTTATTTATTTCAATGCAACATAGTTGGTATAATTAAGCGAGGTAATAGTTATTTTTACATTTATGTTATATTTGATATTTTTTAGGAATTCAACAAATATTTGAGATCTCGGGTTATTCCTTCTTGTACATTTTTTATGTTGAAATATATACTGCTAATGAAGTAGAGAAACTAGGGGCTTGTTGTAATATTTTTTTGAAATTAATATTTCTTGAGATAAAGATGTATTAATGATGCAACTATTCCTCTACCAAATGAAACAAAAATAAATTCACAATTATTGTTCTTTATTAACTTCTTGTAGGGCAAGTTATAGTAATCGCAAAAAATCGAAAATAAAATCGAAATGAAAATTTTTACGCTTCAGTTTTCTGAACATTTTGGCATACCTTAGAAAAAATGGATGTGTGTGTGTGTATGCATGTGTGTGTATGTGCATGTATGTGTATGTGCATGTATGTGTGTGTGAGGATACAAATTTTCGTCGACGATTTCGGGAACACGGATAAAGCGATTTGAATAATTCAAAAAACATTCGATTCGTATTGATAAGGAGACGTGCTGATTAGTTTTTGGCAAAGACAGGTCTAGTCGTTCCGAAGATATGGGGCAAAAAGTGCCAAAAACTGTCTCTCAGTTTTTAAGAGAACGGAGCGTCCGATTTGAATAATTCAAAAAACATTCTACTTGTAGTAACAAGATGAAGAACTAATCAAATTTTCATGACGGCAGGTCTAGCGATTTCGGAGATCTAGTGAAAAAAGTAAAAAAAAGTGCCATTTGGCGGTCAAAAATGATCATTAGGCATATACACATCAAATTATTAGATAATTTATAGAGATTTTAACAATAACTATAAATTTTGTTTACATTTCTATGGGTTCTGTACCAATCTTTATCCGTAAGACGGCGACGCGGCGCTTACGGATAAACGCTTTGGTATTTTGCAGTTAAAGCAGTACGATTGCTTTAAAAAAAGAAACAGAATTTCCAAAATATTTCAAAATATTTTAAAATAATTTTTTTTTCAAAGTTTTATTTTTTCAAAAAAAAAGTAAATTTTTGTCAAAAATTTATAGTTTCTCAAAAATCTATTTTTTCAGATTAATTTATTTTCAAAATTGTTAATCTTTTTAAAAAAAAAAATTTTTGGTACGGGAAGTTCCAGCAATTTGCCTTAAAGCACGATGCCATGCGCCCCACTAGTTTCACAATTAATCACTTACTAGAAAAAGTGCTGTGTTACCTAGTCTTTGGGGCAAGTTGTGACGCAAGTAGTAACGGCAATAAAATCTTGTCATATCGTTTAAGATCCTACTCAAAAACGACTGTTACTACTTGCTTGTGCTACAATAAGTCCCAATTTACTTTTTATAATTTTGTGAATATAATTCTATTCTCTGAGGACAAGTATTCTGCCGTGTTTTTTATGAAGCATATACTATTTGAATTACGCACATTTTTCCATATGCGATTGTATCACTCTAATCGCAAAACCATGGGTGAGCTCACGTTTGTAAAACGGATCAAGTATGTGTGAATATTTTGTTTGCGATGAATGAGGTAAAAAAAGACGGGCTCACTATAGGTCAATATGAAAGACAGAGAGCGAAAAAAATTGAATGGCCTTATTTTGAATAAAGAAAACTGCTTAGCTGAATGAATGGACGCACGCGCAACTTTTGAATGGCACATACATACGTACGTTAGCAAATTCAACACATATTCTCGAACGTAGTATTTGTCGATGTTTCTATATATATCAAAAGTGCTAAACTTCGACCAGCTGATCGTATATAGAGAATCGATTTCTATAAATGATTTCTTAGAATTGTTACATTCTTATTTATTTGAATATGTACAACATAGTAATGTTATTTTATCAAACAAATATTTATTATTATCAAGATCACAACCGAAGTACAGTAGATGCAGTAGTTGTATTAGTTCTTATTCTTACTTTTAGGGTCACCAATCAGGAACCATAAAAAAGTAGTAGAATATATCTGTCATCTCAATGAATAAGTGGTTAAGTCTATTTTCACTATTTTGCAAAGCTTGATTTTAAAGTTTTATTACTCGTAATATCGCGTATTTGAAATTAATGATTTGAAATTTGATATAAAGTGCTTCATTAACTTTTGTTCCTAACCAATAATTTTTAAATTTAATGTTTTTTTTAGAGAAAAAGCTAATACCGCGATTCAAAACATTTTTGCCAAAATTTAGCTTAATCACTTATTCACTGGGATGGCAGTATATTATTATTGAACCTTTTTTATTATTATTTGAAAGGCGATCAAAACTTACGAATCCTATAAGATGTTGAAATGACCTGTTTAAACTATCTACGTCGATTCTATAGATAGCAATCTATACAGTTGTGGCGAATTTTTATTATTTTGTCTATTTCCATGTGATGAATTGTTTTTGTTTTATCTCTATTTTTATAATAGTGATGAATTTTTTTTATTGATACCAGAGCGGCTGGACCTGAATCAGAGGAACCTGATGTCTAGCACTAGTCACATCAGCTTTCATTTGAAATTATATATAGCAATATATTTCCAAGTGAAAATAGCCCTTATCCGGCATTGCTGCATCATTAAAATATTCGCCCTATTACAGAAATTTCAATATGTAATAAAATTTATCACACAGAAATGAGACAACTGTTTGGGTTGCCATCTGTGAAATCGACGTAGTAATAAGTCAAATTAGCCTAACTGATTATAGAACTCTTAAGTTCTGATTGCTGTTCCAAGCAATAAAAAAAATATTTTGAAGTGAAAACCGATGTCAATAATGTTTGACATCAGTCTGCCCAAGACGAGTATGGAACCTGGATTTTTGGTTGTTTTAATATATTCCAAAGATGTTCATTTACATGTGCCATTTGCTTAATTTATTGCGTAATGAATTTTGTGCTTCAATTGTGTACATTTTGTGGAAAAGTCGACGAAAAATGTGTTAGCGGTGGTAACAGGGTTGGTGCATGATATATTTCATTCAAATTATTACATTTTTAATATGAATATTATTATAAACATTTTGAGAGACACTGCCAAATAACACATTGTGCACAATTGCTGAGTAAATACAATGTACTAGTCTATGAATGGGATTATGCGATTACACAATGGCAAATAGCGTTGTTAATATAGAATATGTAGTCGTGTTTAGATACCGAGTCAATATGCGTGCTCACGCGTACTGATTCTGGATGAGTTATATGAATTAAATAAAAATAAAATATTACAAAAGTATCTATCGAATTCTACTAATTCTCTACTCGACGATGAAAGCACGCGCGTAGTGCCTTATAACTTGTTTGAATACAAATATTGTTCATCGCTCTTGTTGCGAATTCAGAGATTATTTCATTCAAAGTATGCCATTTTTTCACTATCTTGTAGTAGAGATAAAGCAAATCTGATTAAAATACCTACAAGCCCCATGGTTTATATCAAATGTTATTTTTTAATAAAGTTCCTATGAAAGTTGATCATTTCTTCCATCATGTAATTTTTTTTTTCAATTCATTTAATTCCGTTTTTTTTTCATTTTCTAATTATTTTCGAAGTGGCTGCATGTAGTTTTGCACTTGTTGCCAATTTATCTTATTTTGCTGCTAACAATGATGTGTAGATTAGATAGATATCCTGAATATTTAAATTCCTTATTTTATGCCAGCTTTCGATTATCTTGGAGTAATTAAATTTTAAATCATTTTACTTGTAAGTTTAATTTTATATTTCAATAAAGTTCATTATTATTAACTTTTCCTTTGTTAATGTAGAAGAGGGTTGTGAGAAATTGTGCTGATCTGTTGAAAGTGAAATTGTGTTGTTCATTTTTTCTTCATGTAGATTCCTCTTTAAGTTTTTTAATAATGCGAATCAAGTTTTCGAATATTTTCATTTTATCTAAATTTTCTACTTGCGATAATGTAATCTGTATAGTATTGACCTTATGAATCTCTCATTGTTGTGCCCGTTTTTGCCTTAATTTGAAAGAGTCGTTTATTTATATCAATTAATCAAAGCTCATGGAGGTGTGAAAGTATCTTGATATTTTCAAAACACTGTTCTTTCTATATTACATACCAATAATCTTATTCGCTCGATGTGATCCCACACAATCTATAACAGATTTGATTTTGCAATGCTATTTTGCATATTGTATTGAAAACGATCGATAAGTATAGGACATCATAATGCATTATCTGCTCGCTATTTCGCAAATAACAGTTTTACATACGAATGTTCTTTATGATTTGGAAA